AGCCTCCAACATAATAGATGATACCATAAGACAGGCATTAGCTGGAAAGAAGTGTGTATCGTTCCCGATGTGTCCCGTGAGCAGTGCTAGAATAACTGACTCATGTCATAGCGCACTGTATACATTACAGAGAATGTGTTGGCATTGCTCCAAGCTCTCACAAGCTTTCATTTTTAAAAGAAAAAAGTTATGGGCCTGATGTAATGAGTATAAGCCCTGATCTAAAGTTCACTTAAATCAGGGGAAAACTCCCCTGTTGACTTCAGGGCTTAAGATCAGTTCTATAATACTAACCAGGAAAAGTCCCTCTGAAATCGGGGGAATTACCAGTGGTAATAAATAACATCACATCTAGTTGTTAGTGCTTTCAGAGGTCAGGCCTTCAGTCCATGTAAATCAATATTGTGTTTTCTATGGGCCACCTCACAGAATTTCTGATGGATTTCCAAGTGGTCTCCCTCCACTCTTGAGCATTACAGTTCCCTTAATAGCTGTAATGCAATTCACTTCTTTGCCTGAGTCTATGCAAAAACCCCGTATATGAGTGGAGCATAATCTAGTGTTCTAGTCTCCTTTCTCTTGCCCATGTTTGCAGCATCAATAACCATACATTAACATTAACACTTGAGTTGCTACATCATCATCTTGTCTATTTCTCTGTATCACTTTTCCTTACCTCATCCTATGTAATAAACTCCAGATGAATAAATCCAGCAGTCCTGTTACTCACAAAGTACAAAGGAAGACAAAGACTTCTGAAATTTATTAAGTAAAATTAAGTGATTCATCGAAGAAATATCTCAACCAATAGCCAGTAACTTTCTTACTAAAACTCTCTCACATATTAAAAAGCCACATCAACAGATGACAGAGGAGAAACAGCTGTTGTTACATGGAGACACGCATTAGAAAAATCCTTACCCATGAAAGAAAGTCTTTTAATTCATGCTTCCAAGTTCTAAAATAATTTAAAAAATTCTTAGCAGCTATAGAGAAGAAACTTAAATTGTATACATGGCCATTATATCAAATATGATATAACACAATTATGTTTTTCAATTGAATTTTTGCTATTGATTTGAAATGGGTTAAATGAAATCCCTTTTATGAGGTATAAAACTTGATTTCTAAAGCATCCTCAAGTCTCTGAGCATATGACTTCATACATAATGTAATTATCACAAATGCTTTCAGATTGACTGGGGCAAACCCATTTCAGAAAAGTGTTGGTAGGAACTGTCATGTTTGTTAATCGGAATTTCAAAATTGAAGGTAGAAGTCATGTGCACTGTAACTTTATTTCAAACTTTAGCTTTTTCATTGTGTGTGTGTTCTGACATTCTCTTGAAACAAAATTAAAATCCCAGGGATGTTAATTGGAGCTATGCAATAAGGCCTACTTTTGCAAATCTTAGTAAAACACTCTGGTCAAGATTTTTAAAAGTGGCTAATGATTATTTTGATGTGTTTACTTTTGGGGTCTTATCTTGAGATACTGTGCAAGGGACTGTTTTTTAGAACACTGCAAAAACCAGGCCTTCTTTCAGGTCTCTCAAGATAGGAGCACACATCACTGTTCATTTGGCTTCTCTCATTATAGTAAAGGCCTGGTGTATTTCAAATTGTTTGCCATTTTCTTTGAAATACAAAATAAACAAGTTCCAAGATGAACATCACTGCCAACTAACAGATTAATTTTATACCTGTGGATCAAGGAGATTGTTTGAGAAAAATGCAAAAGCACCCATTTTAAAAACTGTCGAGTCTATAATTATGCAAACCCTCTCTCTCCAACAGAGTTTATCAACAAGTTGCTGGGTGGCTTGACATAAATACTATTTCCATGTATCCAATATTTGGCTCAGTTTTACAACTAGCTTTTCAGTCACATTCTTTCTTAATCCAAACCTTTCCACTCTTTCATGGTTGTTCCATCCTTTTTAATTTTCCACAGTCACACTTCAGGTGGGATCCATGAAGGGACATTGGCTTTGCAATACTGAATATCACAATGCCTAACTTTAGATGCCTAGAAAATCACAGGCTACGTCTACGCTACCAGGTTAATTAGGAATAACTTATTCTGAAATAATAATTCTCAAAATAACTATTTTGAAATAAGCTTATTCCTCTTCATAAGCAGGAGTTATTATTTTGAAATGACAAGCCCATTATTTTGAAATAACAGGCATGGTAGTGTGGATGCTTGCCTTGTTATTTCTAAATAAAGGGAGTTATTTTGAAATAATTCCTCAGTGGAGACATGCCCACAGGGACAATACTGAAATTGACAAAGCCTAAGCCAGATACCTAGGCTCCCTCTACAATGAATAGGAGCTAAGAGTGATCCACAAAAGCCAGAATGCTAGGCAGGGAGCCACCTAAAGTAAATGCCATTGAGGGCTATGTGCTAAGCCCCACTCTTCTCCCAGAAATTGGCACCTAATCCTGTTTAGAGATACACAAATTGTAACCTGCCACCTGAAGTCAAGCAGGTTAGGTGGCTATGGCATTTCTTGTGGAACTAACTTAGATGTATACCTATGTTCTCTCTAAGCTGTGTGGTTGGCTAGCCACCTAGCAGGCTATCAAGTGCAATGTTCTTCAGGTGTCTCTCTCCCCTGCCCCCACTGATGTGCTTCTCCTGTCTTCTGCTTTGGAGCCCTGGCCACCTGCTTCTGGGAGCCTCCTGCTTGCTGTGCAGAGCAGGAGAAGAGGGGTGCTGATGTCAGAGTGTCTCCCATATTCCCAGGGAGGGGGTATACCACAGGGCTCAAGAATGATAGGGAGGGAGCTTGCTGGCAGCTGTTCTTGTGTCTGAGCAAGCAGCATTCAGACTGATGAGTGCCAGTCCACTTCAAAGGGCAGTGTACTCAAAGTGATGTCCGGGTATTTAAAAGGGCATCTTTCTCTCTCTCCCTCCTTTGTGTTTCACGCGCATCTCACCTCTTAGGGAACATGCTGTAAATGCTGAGATGTTGGATATTCTGATTGGGGGCGGGGCTTCCTCAATCTCTCCTATCATAGCTGTTCTATGGTAGACAACCAACTCAGTCATTAGACCAGGAGGATTGCAACGTAGGTGTCCCACCTAAGCAGTGGGTGCCTGTCATGCTGTCTGAAGAGGGTCACGACCATGATGCCAATCTCAGGGGAAATTGTCAACAGGGCAAAGCCCCCTAAATTGGTGATATGTTCTATAAGTAGATCTTACCAACCCAGGTAGAAAAGTGAACTTCGAAAGCACTGTAACAGTGTTATGCTGGAGACACAGACAGTCTTTTTGGCATTCCAGCAGTGTTCCCTGTAATCTGTGTGCTTGTGTGGACTCTCAGGAGAGATTCAAATGCTACCCAGCTGATTAGCAGAGCACCCACAGCTAGATTTTTTGTTTCTACTGGTGGTGCACATTTGCACATGCCTTGATGCACTACAATTTTATTCTACACGTGGATGAGGGGGAGAAGCCCCGAGCCCGTGGCCACCTACAAGACTATCATGGAGCACTAGTGGTCCATGGACCACACTTTGAGTATAACTAAATTAGAGCTAAATAACAGCACAGAAAAATGAGAGCCGGGAATGGTGGCGGTAAACAAATTTTACAGGACTGCAGGAAATGTGGCCACACCCATAATAAGCAGACATACAACTAACTAAAATCATGCTGGATGACAGATGTTGCCAGACTAGAATATGCTGGACTAGAGAGGTTCAACCTGTAAAAATAAAGCCAATGGAGTTATGCAATAAAAAAATGTGAGGTTAGATGCAGATCCAGCCTTTTTAACTATGCAGTGTGCCTTTAAAATAAATGCTTCCTACACATGGAAGGGATTTTTAAAAACGATTTCTGCTGTAAACAGGTGGCTTAAAATTGAAGTGTAGATTTGTTTACAGGCTGTTCCAATGTTTAACTAGTGCAACGATAGGTGAGACTTGCTCTCCGGCTGTGTACAGGATCCTGGCTGGATGCAGCCACATGAGGGTGCTCATGTATTTTGCATGTCGTAAGATTTTTTTCAAAAAGAGCCACACTCTGCTCCTTGAAGAGCCGTCAGATGAGTTCCAACTTCAGTATGTACTGCACAAAAAGCCGCAGCCAGTCATATACTGGGTTGCTTTCTTTCCCCACCTTTTCAAAGGCTTCAGGGATTTATAACTAAATCTGTCCACCTCTCTCCCCCTTTCCTGTATATTTTCTCTCACTCCCAATGCACAAGTAATTTAGGGGCTCCACAGTTAATGTTCAGTGTAATTTTTTGTGAAAATGACTGGAGCCCAGGGCACCGTTACATTATTCCTAGAGGGCTCGCATAATGGAGAGGGATTTTTTTCTTAAGTGACATAAAGTGTTAGGTATTGCACCTCCCACCATGTAGCAGAATACAAAGATAGCAATAATGGACAGACGTCTATATAGGAACTAACAGAAAGTTTAAGGCTATAAGGAGACTAAAATCCTCACATTTCTGTATTTTCCCTTTGAATATGTTTAACAGTTGCTATGCAATATGATGTTGAATGGGAGTGAATTAAAGAACTTCCCTGGGAAGCAATAATAGCTCAGTGGTTTCAGTGGAAATATTCCTGCCTGTAAAGTAATTTGTGTATAAATCTGTAGGATTGGGACCCTAGACAGACCACATCGCTTGTTTGGATATAAATTATTACAATTTGTGCCAAGAATATTAGGATTCCAAATAGTAGAAGAAACTTATTGTATTATGAATAATTTGTTAGGGCACCAAGAGCCTTGATTAGGCATCTTTTAAAAGATTTAATTCTACATGAATAAGTAACTTTGGAGGAAGAAGATATAAATTGAAACTTAACAAAACACAAAGGAAGAGACATCATATAGCTGACACAATGAAAAAAACTTCAGCATGGGGGTAAAGGTTGGCTGAGCTCCACCTCCAAAACGTGCTTTTAATCCCATCCCCCCAACAGCATCTAATGTTTCCTTTAAATCAAAGGGGTAAATTGCCTTCAGTTCACATTTTCAGAACACACCTGGAAGTGCAGTGCACTAGCCTATGGATTCATTCCCTGACATCCCGAGCTGGAGCTGGCTGGGGAGGGGTGGGTTGGATGTCAATGACTCCTCTAACCTCCCCTCCCTCTTTTTCTTCTTCCTTCCACCTTCTGCTTTATAATTGGCTGCCTTGTTTCTCTCCCCCTTTCTTCTTCTTATCAGATCCAGTGCTGTGAAGGAACGAGCGGCTGGAGGGTGGAAGGGAACTTTTTAGAGCAAGAGTAACACCCACATTAAAGAGTGAAAGAAGGAGCGTGTATTAGCAAAGAGTGATTACTCCCAGGCAGCTACACCTCCTCGCCAAGCAACTAAACCACTCATGACTACAAAGGTCTGTTTGATTTTATTGTCACGCTCTTTTTACATGGGGCGGGGGAGTAGTTTAAAAAGCGGGTGATTCTGGTACAAGAACGTGAGTAACAACCCCGGTTGTTAAGGATCACGATACTTATCTGCCACCTCCAGGATGCAACGTTTGGCTGGCCACATAAGCAAAAGAGGCGCAGGAAAGAGTCAGTGCTGGGAGGTGACTGTGATTGATGGTTTGCCAGCGGGGAAGGGGGGTCTGAAATGGAAAAGCCCATCGAATCTTCTGCGAAACGTGGCATCCTCTATCTGCGTCTCTCCCTGCGCTTCACTGCCTCGCCGGGTGCACGCGCTTCAGTGCCTCTTGTCCCCCGCGCCCGGCTTGGGTGCTCCGGGGGTGCAGTCGCAGCCCCTCGCTGCTTTCGCCTGCTACTCGAGGGCTGCCTCCTCTTTCTCTTTGCTCGCCGGTCCCAGGAGGGCAGAGGCTTTTCCAGCACCCCCTAGCGCTCCTTTGCCGCGCTGCGCACCGGGGGGCCAAACGCGAGCCCTGCGCGCTGCCCAGTTCCATCGCGCGGGGAAAGGAGCCGCCGGCCAGAGTCGTTCGCGCCCCGGGGCCGCGGCTGGCGAGTGCTGTGCGAGCGCCTAGGCTCTGCAGGGACCGCCCGCCCCCAGCGGGGTGACACGTGGACCGAGCCAGCCTGCAGCCCCCATGGCCGGCTTGTCGGGGGGAGAGGGGGCGGGAAACCACCGGCGCCCAGGCTGCGAGGAAGGGCAGCAGTGGCGCTAAGGGCGCGCAGACCGCTGCGTGGGCGCCTGATGCGAGGCCGGGACGCAGGGTTCCTGTGAGGCTTGCGGCGCAGGTGCTTTGGCCCGCACTCAGCCCTGCCCCGGCCGAGCCAAACTCTCTCCCTGGCTCGACGTGAGCAGCGAAGCCCCCTTGCCCGTGCGTGCCTGGGTGCCAGGCTGCTGTGTTTCCTACCCGTAACCCCCTGGTGGTCTATGCGGGCTACAGAAATCGCCCCTCAGCTTCTGCGTTCATGTCAGACTGAGCCTGATCCAAACTGACCCACCTTTCACAGTCCCTTTGCTTTCACCTCAGGTGTTTAGCTGCCGGCTGGTATTTCTCCTTTGTCATCTAGTTATGTGCTCAGAGGCTAGCAGGGTTAGCCGGTAACTTTATACACACCCCGTAGTCTTGTGGCCAGGGGCTGAGAGTTTTGCGGGGCCAAGGGCAGCACAATATCGCGGAGCCCCTCCCCCCCTTTGGAGAAAAAACAGAAAAAAGGGGTCCCCCCCATGTCCACTCCTCCAGTAGCCCAACACTGATCATGTGAGCTACCCCCTCCTCATCCCCTCTCCTAACACCTCCCTCTACACACCTGCCCTCTCTCTCCTCTGGTGCTGGTCCCTCCCCTGCAGGTGTCTTCCCTTCTGCTTCACCCCCAGAATCTCCTGGCACCTGCACCTTCCCTTCCCCCCTGCACCCTCCTGGTGCCTCCCCCTTCCCTCACTGCCCCTGCGCCCTTTGCCCTGTTTTTCCCTGATGCCCACCCCCTCACCACCGTCTGTCCCCATGCTTTCACACATGCCTTGCTCCATCCCCGCCTTCCTCATGCCCACCCCTCCTTTCAAGTCTTCTCCCAGTACCTCGCCCTTCCCCATTTAGCCCTCAGTGCCCTTACCCTCTCCTCCCAGCATCACCCTGTCCCCCCCTCCCACTGATACCTCCCCTCCTGCCCTTTTCCTCATTGTCTCCACTTGGCCCCC